TCCAGCGATCCACAGAGCAAAGTTGTAGTATTTCCTCAGCAACCAGCACGGATCAGCTCCAGGCATGACAAAGCAGATATCGTCCTCTTTTGGAAGACCAAACAAAGTAGTTTCGCTTTCACAACGAAGCACATAGCATCTTCAGGACATGGTGGCGGAAACAACAATACTACAGCGAGAATAAAAGTTACGCCTTCTTTCTTTGCGTGAACATTTGGGCGGTGTTATGCAAATCTTCCCACATAGTGACGTAGATATGTGGGGGATTGTTAGAATGAGCCGTTTTAGGTAGGCGTGGCTGACTCTTAACTTTTATAAAGAATATCTCTTTGGATTTGAGACTTTAGTCTTTGCAACTTTACAGATCTTCTTTGTGCACCAAGAGCTTGTAACACGCCAAAGAAAAATTTTAATTGCATCATATGACCCCTTTAATGCTTTTGCGTTCACTTGCAACACCTGTTTTTTTTCTTGCAAAACATTTGCGTTCTCCTGTAAAATTATTTTGTTCCCCTGAGAAACTTTTCCTTCACTCACTAAAAGCACTGAAATATAGAGTTTTCTGTTTAAATATTTATTCAAATGTAATTTATTCCTGTGATGGCAAAGCTGAATTTTTAGCATCATTACTCCAGTCTTCAGTGTCACACGATCATTCAGAAATCATTCTAATATGCTGATTTGCTGCTCAAAAACAGTTTATTTTTATTTTTATATTATATTTTATATTTATTTTTATAACAAAAGTGCTAGTGATGATAAATTTATTTAGCCTCGTTTTAGGTAGATATCTATTAAGCATTCATACAGTACACGTAACTGTATTTCATGTAACTGTGGAGTGTCAACTTTTTATGAGCTGTCTGACTGCAGGCACAGTGAACTCTGCTTACCATGGTGCTCTGCCAAGTGTGCCATGTGACATTATATATGTGTGTCAGACAGAAAACACTGTGTGCAGCATTTTTAATTTAATCCCATCAACTATTTATTTTTCAACTAAACTGAAAGGCTAAACAAGCCTTTACATTTGGTCAATAGTGTGATTTGTGCAGTAGTTTCCGGCACCCTCTCTTTCTATCTGTAATGATATGTTGTGTTCTGTTGTAGGTTCCAGGCTCTGTACAATTACATGCCTCAGAATGAGGACGAGTTGGAGCTGCAGGAAGGAGACCTGGTCAGTGTCATGGAGAAATGTGATGATGGCTGGTTTGTGGGTATGTGTCATTGATCATTGTATTGATTCTCCATTAAGTCATCTCTCCCATACTAAATCCATATATACAGTATATACATATATATACAGTGGGGCAAAAAAGTATTTAGTCAGCCACCAATTGTGCAAGTTCTCCCACTTAAAAAGATGAGAGAGGCCTGTAATTTTCATCATAGGTATACCTCAACTATGAGAGACAAAATGAGAAAAAAAAATCCAGAAAATCACATTGTAGGATTTTTAAAGAATTAATTGGTAAATTCCTCGGTAAAATAAGTATTTGGTCACCTACAAACAAGCAAGAGTTCTGGCTCTCACAGACCTGTAACTTCTTATTTAAGAGGCTCCTCTGTCCTCCACACGTTACCTGTATTAATGGCATCTGTTTGAACTCATTATCAGTATAAAAGACACCTGTCCACAACCTCAAACAGTCACACTCCAAACTCCACCATGGCCAAGACCAAAGAGCTGTCAAAGGACACCAGAAACAAAATTGTAGACCTGCACCAGGCGTATGTTTTCCTTTTATTTGTACCAGACTCTTATGTATTGGCTTCTCTGTGCAGGTACATCCAAGAGGACAAAACAGTTCGGCACTTTCCCAGGAAATTATGTGAAAGCTGTTCATTTGTGACATGATACATTTGAAGAAATGACGGTTTGTATGAAGAGATTCTAACTATGCTTAAGCGGCTTGATCCGTTTGGGACACTCTACCTGTTGGCGTCAAATGAAGACTTTTTCTCCCTCCAAAATTTGGTCTTTCCCAGATGAATGTCCAGGTATGTGATCAGTTAGGTGTGCGGCATGTCAGCAAAGAACATGCAGTTCAACTGTACTACAGTGGCAGCATTTGTTGAAGGATTTAGAAGAATGCTTTTTGAAAATACTCAGACTCAGCTATAAGCCATTAATATAAAATATATCAGACTTGGAAAAGGTGTTTAAGTTTACAGCTGTGAATTGTATTGAAGTACAACTTCATCACATACCTGACATTACTGAAAAACATGAAATTCTACCATTTATTTTTGCTATAAATATTTGATGGACTTGGAGTGTTACCATTAGAGATGACAGTGTATTGAAAGCACCTGAAGATGTCTGTATTAAGGGTTAATGGTCAGAGAAGCTGTAAAAGGATCATAGAAGTTAAGTTTAGCCTTTTAAAAAAGTGTTTCAATTTCAATTTACACTCCCATTGTGTAAAAAAATGCATATTTATGGAACTTTTTTTTATCATACTTTCATGAAGAGTATGATGTAAATTTATATTCCGATGAGGGCTCAATGGATGACACAACATTAGTATTTGCAAATCCAAGCAAAGCCATTTGTAAACATCAAAATGATGTAAATCAGTGTTGGTCATGTTAAGGAGGAAAACGTCACAGCACTTACTGTACGCTCAGATTTTATTGACAGAGAAAATTATGGTAACACTTTATAGTATGGTCTGATTTGTTAACATTTGTTAAATGGATGAGATGTTAAACCGAGGTCCTGACTCTGTGTGGCCATAAAAAGTCCCAGGATGTCCCTTGAAAACAGTAGGTGTGTTTTGAGTTTAGAGAAAAGCGCTATATAAATGTGACAAATTATTATTTATTTTAATGCATTAGTTAACATGAACTAACCGTGAGCAACTATTGTCAACAAATGAAACCTTATTGTAAAGTATTACCAAATTTCTGTTCAAAAGATTACGATGGAGTGACCAACTCTAGAAACTCCGGATCGACCATGCTTTTTAATTGGTAACAAAAAAGAATCAAGCTTTAAGCGCTATGTAAAGTTGTGAGGTGAAGGGCTACAACTAAACCGCACTAAACAGATCTGAACATATTTAGATGCTTTGCCTCAAAACATACAACAAATATTTATTTGCCTGAGTAATGCATATTTTGCTCTTTCAGTCATCCATTTTTGAATTGGTTGTTCTGAAGAGTGTATTACGAGTCTGAGGCACAGTATTTACCTCTGTTAACAAGCCTTGATAACATCTCAACCAGCTACCATTTGACAGTGACATTTACATAGTGTTATGACTGGTAATATGGTTGCATGTTGGGAATCGATGATCCATATAAGATTGCCGTACCTCATTTTCAAAGTGCCATTCACAGTATAGGATGCTACATGAGGACTGTTGTGTTCATTTAGTTAGGTACACTCTTAAAAATAAAGGTGCTTCACGATGCCATAGAAGAACCTTTTTGTCTAAATGGTTCCATAAAGAACCTTTAACATCTGAAGAACCTTTCTGTTTGACAAAAGGTTCTTTGGGGCGAAAGAAGGTTCTTCAGATTACAAAAAGGTAAGAAAGAGATGGTTCTTTAAAGAACCTTTGACTGAATGGTTCTTTGTGGAACCAAAAATGGTTCTTCTATGGCATCGCTTGAAGAACCTTTTGAAGCACCTTTATTTTTAAGAGTGTAGTCTCCATTGATTAGCTTGTGGTCTTCCTTAACTGAATGTAGTTCACATCTACTCCAGGTTGTAGATTTGCTTTTGCTTCCTTTTTTAAGAGGTAGAATTGCAAATTTGAAGATGAAATTGTGTCTTTTTGAATCTCCCCTTTAGTTACATATGGTCCATTCCATTTAATGCCAGAGAACGTGCTGCTAGAGAGCATGAGGGTCGTCTGAGACTCTTACGCTTACCAGCCTTCTGTCCAATTCAAAACGAGAATTAGGAAAAGATCACTTGGACAGAAATGAGTCATTTAAAGTATCTAGATCATATATTTTTCATTTTTTTAAACCAGTGGTTGTTGCTGAAACCTTTGTCAATAAGTAATCACATAGAAGATCAACAAGAAATTAAAATACGTATATATGATCTCTATTGAATATGAACTTGAAAATGTGTTTCAAGCCCGTTATAAGATAGCGTAGCATATCTGAATGTAGTGCTCTGAGAAACTTTTAACTTGGATGTGAACACAGTTAAAATTCACAGTTTTCCTGTTCTGTCAGAGTTGTAAATATGTAAAGTAAAATGAATGAAAGTGACCGAAGTTGCAGCAACCTCTATGAATATTACAGTTTATATTAAATGAAGAATATTAGGAAAGCACAGAGATTTGCTTAACACAGGCTGTCTCATATGATTGAAGGAGTGATTCTGACACTGTTGGGATTGAAATGCCTTTCTGTCTCATGGCTTCATTGAACTGTGCCTCGTTTTATTTTATTTTGTTTTATTATTATTATTATTGCCTTGAGGTAAACATGTTACTTTTTAAGGAATTTTCCAAGTTTGTTTTAGTGTGTCACAGGAAACAATTACCAAGTTCATTGCTACAATCACATGAGTTATTCAAGAGTGTGAGATGACACCTGAGATGTTTTATGTATAATTATTACTTTGTGGTCTGTATGCAGAGGCGAATTTTGCATTTTTTGTTTGTTTTTGTTTATTTGCAGTGCTGTTACAATTACAATAAATTTAAAACACTAGTTACTGCTGTGATTTCCTCATTATGCAATATTTAATAAACAATATTACAGCTTTTGACTGACTATGTTTGTTGTGGTGATGTGCATGGCCTGTGCAAATGCTACACAGTCAGTTTGATGAATAATAGTGAAAAATATCAGTTTAAACCCCATATCTTCTCACCAGTTCAAAACATACCTGTAATTAATGGAAGCAAGAAAAGCTGATCTTTTTGTACTAAGGAAAAAAGTAGCTGTTTCGACTTTGTTTGGAGACTCTTAAGTGAGTGGAACTCACTGACTAGTACACGTGCATTTGTTGCTGTCGTTTGGATTTGTTTTTGTACCCGCTCACTTACACTCCCAGAACAGATGTTTGTGGGGAGCGTGGGAAAAAACAAAACAAAATCAATTTTGCTGTATTAGAAGTCTGAAATAATTTTTCAAGAGAAAAAAAACAACAACACCCATGCAGTTGCTTTAACAAAGTCAATGTCACAATGTAACAAAACAAACAAACAAACCTTAGATGGTTTTGGATACCAGGCCATATTCCAGATCAACTAATGTATGTTTGTTGTGGTGATGTGCATGGCCTGTGCAAATGCTACACAGTCAGTTTGATGAAGTAATAGTGAAAAATATCAGTTTAAACCCCATATCTTCTCACCAGTTCAAAACATACCTGTAATTAATGGAAGCAAGAAAAGCTGATCTTTTTGTACTAAGGAAAAAAGTAGCTGTTTCGACTTTGTTTGGAGACTCTTAAGTGAGTGGAACTCACTGACTAGTACACGTGCATTTGTTGCTGTCGTTTGGATTTGTTTTTGTACCCGCTCACTTACACTCCCAGAACAGATGTTTGTGGGGAGCGTGGGAAAAAACAAAACAAAATCAATTTTGCTGTATTAGAAGTCTGAAATAATTTTTCAAGAGAAAAAAAACAACAACACCCATGCAGTTGCTTTAACAAAGTCAATGTCACAATGTAACAAAACAAACAAACAAACCTTAGATGGTTTTGGATACCAGGCCATATTCCAGATCAACTAATTATAACTTGCCCCACACTCCACCTAATTTAATACATTCATTGCAATACCATGTAATGCCACTAGGGAGCAGCACAGACAAAGGAATATCCTCCTGCGTTTAAAAACAATCTCATCTGACCGCCTCTGTCAAGACGTGAAACTTGTCATGAAACACAAATTAGAAGCTAACAGAGAAAATAACACTTTCAAAAAACAATGATACATTTACACAACAAGGAGCAACATGATCCCAGTGAAGCATAAACACAAGGTAAGTGTGATGCTGTCAGTTCCAGATGTTTGCCATTAACCTGCTGTACACTTGAAAAGGTCAATTGAAATGAGGCTGAAAACACTCAGTGGGACGCTGATTATGTGACACGGAAACACTAGCATCTAATTTCCCCCAACCACAGGTGGTAAATTCTGTTTGTTTAATTTAGTCATTTAACACCATTTGTGTTTATATTTGTTCACTGAGGATTCTGTTGAAACAGTAGGGGACAACCAGTATAAATGTTATGTATAAACTGACTAAATGTAAATGTTTAACAGCATTCACTAACAGTAGTCGAAGATTACTTTTCTCTTTTTGCTCATTTGCAATAGAGGAAATTCTAGATTCTACAGAAGCCTGTGGTGTTTTTAGAAAGGACAATATTTTTAGTGGTGTTTTATGCCCTAAACATATTCAACATTTTATTAAAAATAATAATTAAATGTAAAAAAAATATATAATATCTTATGCTTACATAAAGCTTAATCAAGTCTCAAGTTAACAGAGCGGCTTGGAATGTCTCAGCAGCTCAGCAAAATGTTGACTTGTTAAGTTTTAACAAGGAATCCCAAATACTGACCTACTTGAGCTCCACTTGAGTCAGAATTGTTCATTTAAAGCTCAGCGGGGTTGCTCTCTGCATAATGTTTATCTTTTTCAGTTGAGGAAGCACACTTGTTTCATGGTGCTGGGTAGGATGTTGTAATGTCGGCTCTCTATACTTTGATCTTACGGCACTGCACTGATCAAATACACTGACTGAATGCATCCAGGCTAATAATCTTTACTTAATTATTTTTTCTTTTCTTTTGTAGTCTGGGTGATTGATCAAAAATGTCAAAATGTCAATTGCTGTAGAGGTGCTGTGCTCAGCAGGGGTTCAGGAATCACTATGAAATAATCAGCTCCCTCTGCAATAAAAAGTGGAGAGAATATTTTTTTTTGTTGCCTTTTTGGAGAGGCAGAAAACTCAGATTTCTCCACGTCTTTGCTCTGCTGCATGGTTTCAACTACAATGGGCTTTACTGTTTTATAAAGCAGAAGAAATATTACAAGGACACACAAATCTTAGAAGCTTTTGACAATTTTTATTTGTTAAAAGTGTGTGAACTTTCTCTGTACAGCATATTTGTCTTCATATATACAGTACACAGCCTGTCCTTAATTTGAAACAAAATGAAATAAATAAATGAGAGGAGGGCAACTAAGGAGACACTAACTAGGAGCAGTTGCAAAAACTTTTCTTTTCCTAATAAAGAATTAAACTTTCAGAACATAATTATTCATTCATCAATTCCCGTGGCTGGAATATTTTAACAGCGTTCCTTCATTTCCATTTTATATTATCATCATTGCTCTATTCACAAACAAAAGAGAAGCAAACAAAAATTCGAGGATATTTTTCACAAATCAGCAGGAACATTGTGATCTTTTTTTTGAAGAAACACAAATATAATTCTCCAGATCCACCAATTAGTCTTCACATAAAAACCTGAAATGAAGCGACTGAAGACATGAAGGGGTAAGATTAATTTTAAGTTGAATTCCACAAATGTAGTGAAAATAGCTGTATTTGGTTCATTTAATATGTTGATTTTTGCCATCATACAGTATATTTTCCATCTGTCTTCCTATACTGAAGTATGATGTATTGAGATGTCATTTGTAAATTTCATATTAATGATACTAATGCTAATTAGTTAACTCTTATCATTATTCATTAATTGTGGTTTAAGCTTATCAGAACTCTTTGAGAATTCTTCATTTGTGACCCTGGACCACAAAACCAGTCATAAGGGTACATTTTCAGAAATTGAGATTTATACACCATCTGAAATCTGAATAAATAAGCTTTCCATTGATGTATGGTTTGTTAGGATAGGACAATATGTGGCCGAGATACAACTATTTGAAAATCTGGAATCTGAGGGTGCAAAACTAATCTAAATATTGAGAAAATCACCTTTAAAGTTGTCTAAATGAAGTTCTTAGCATTGCATATTACTAATCAAAAATTAAGTTTTAATATATTTACAGTAGGAAATTTACAAAATATCTTCATGGAACATGATCTTTACTTAATATCCTAATGATTTTAAAAGAAAAATCAATAATTTTGGCCCATACAATATATTTTTGGATATTGCTTCAAATATACCCCAGCGACTTGCTCCAGGGTCACATTTAATCACTTGACACCATATTGTTTCTATTGTTTGTTCAGTGCGGAAACATGACAACCTACATAAATGTTATGTACTGTATGTACACTAGCTAAATGTCACTAAAATGTAAAATGTTTTCATCTGCTTAACAACATTTTTTGAATCAATTAATCTTTATTCATTAATTGTTTGGTAAAAATGATCAGAACATGCAGAAAGGAGTATTTCTTGGTACGAGAAACAGCTCATTACTACTTCTGTTAAAATACATTATAGGTTTGTATAAAGGCTACAATTAATCACATAGGGCAAACTGATAGAATCTAGCAAATTGAATGAATGAACTAGCTGAAAGCCTCAAGACATTCAAAATAACATAAATTAAAATACAGTTAAAATGTAATGTAATCATTTCAGCACCTCTGTAAAATCTTCTTTGGGATTTAACCCGTAGTGCAGGACGTCCTCTTTAATGGAGGCCCAAGCCATGCGTGGTGTGGTGAAGCTGGCGGCCTAGTCCCCCGTGGAGGACACAACAATAGCTCCTCCGCATCCCTTCACTCTCTCTCCCATGTACTGAAGTGTGGCTGATTTCCCTGCTTTTCACAAAGAAAACACTCAAGTATGTGGCAGTGTCAGCAAAGTTAGCAGTAGAAGTTTATTTGGCTGGCAACAGCTGACCATGTATTTTTGCTGTACTTCCTCAGAAACATTTCCGGTTAGAGTTGCACAGTGTGAACTGCATAAATAAAATGATAGAGATTCTAAAATCTTTAAGGTTACATAAGGCTGTACACATCTATTAATCTGGCATCACCTGTTACTACCATTGTCCACCCTTAATACGTTTATTCAGCCAGGATGGATTAAATTGCTCACAAGTGACAGTATTTTACATCGTTACAAAAAATCAAGTGAGCTTTCTGTTCATCAAAAACTTTTCCACACATTTTTAAGCAGCACAACTGTTTTCAACAGTGATAATAGAAATGTTTCTGGAGCAGCAAATCCGCATATTAGAATGATTTCTGAAGGATCATGTGACTCGACTGGAGTAATACTGCTGAAAATTCAGCTTTGCCATCACAAATTATATTTTAAAACATTAACATAGAAAACAGCTATTTTACATTTCAATAATATTTCACAATATCACTGTTTTAATGTATTTTTGATTGGTGAGCATCAAAAACAAAACTTAACAACAACAAATATTTAAAAGGTTGTGTACATAGGTTCATTCAACTTCACAATATTTTCTATTGTGCTTGTATATTTCTGGTATTTTCCAGCACAACAGAAAAAAAAATCAAGTGCATTTGATCTTTGTGTACCTTATGATGAAATACTGACCCGTCAGTGTATGTGTCCTTAGTGTCCCTGTCCAGGTCACACAGTGAACAATATATGTTGCTCTCATGGTTTTCTCATTCCATCAGTCTTAGTATTACAGTCTTAGTAGTCCAACATAGAAAACATTAGCCAAGGAACAAGACAAAGACTGCAACAAAATTAAATTATTCACATTTTTAATAGCACATTTTTATTTTTTATATTTGCATTGTGAGTTTGCATTTTTTTTCTGTATGGAAATGCTGTGTTTAGCAAAAATGTAATGTCTATTTTTAGTTCTCTTTCATCCTTCTCTTTTGTGTCCTGTTCCTTGTTCTTCAGAGCAGTGAATTCATTTTCTTCCTTTAACTGGGGACTCTTCGGCCTCTAGCCAACTAATAAATCTTTTATGCTCATCATATTTATTATTATTATAAGTAATGGTTATGAGTGCCAATGGTACCAATAACTTGCACTGTTATTAAAAATAAACATAATCTAAATTAATTGATCACACTGATCAAGTACACAAATGTTAAACAAATAGTTGAGACCCTAACGGCAAGCCCAATAATTGATAAAATAATGAACTGATATATAAAAACAGAGTGGTTGCGCTTGCAGTATCATTACCACAGAATACCAAAGCAAACAATAGCCTGCTGACCCTTCACACTCTTTCCTCAGACAAACACACACCTCATTATCATCCGCCTACTGTGGCAGCACATCCGATCCTTCCTGACTCTCTCTCACACACACACCAATTAAAATGACTGGCAACAGCAGCATTCGGTTTTTGTGTGGTTTGACATTCATTCTGCTTGGTTATACAAAATTGGATAATAATAGCAACATGTGGGTGATGGTAAAGGGGTACAGATGATCGACACCTTGCAAGCAAAAACAATATATTGCATAAGAGTAAAAACACAAACAAAATGGAAGACACATAGCAGGTGGAAACCAAAAACAAATGGGTGATGAGAATGTTTCATTCAAAATATACAAGAAAATACTGAAAATTTAATCTTATTTAGCCATGATTGTACAATTGTTTTTTATGCAATTTTATGTAATTTGTAATTCTGTGATATTGATTAACCTGGCATCTAACTGGACTTTGAAAAATAAGTATTATATTTATTGTAAGTATTATAATTGACATCAGTGTGACATGCTCTTCAGGACCAATTAGTTAAGATAAGACCTAAAATATACATGTTCTCTTATACATTAATATAAATGTTAACCTAAAAATCTATAGAAAACAGACATGCTATGCATCAAATAACCAAATTAATTTTTTTGAAAGAAGTCTCGTATGCTCACCAAGGCTGCAATTATTTAATCAACAAGAGCATTAATGTATATTATTGTGAAATATTATTTCAATTTAAAATAACTTTTCTATTCTAATATATTTTAAAATGTAATTTGTTGCTGTGATGGCAAAGCTGATATTTCAGCATCATTACTCCAGTCTTCAGTGTTACAGGATCTTTCAGAAATCATTCTAATATGCTGATTTGCTGCTCAAGAAACATTTTTTATTATTATCAATGCTGAACACCGTTGTGCTGCTTAATATTTTTTATGTAAACCATGACACATTTAGGATTCATATGAATAAAAAGTAAAAAAAAAAAAATTTATTTGTAACAGAATTTTTTTCTAACTGTAAATGTCTTTACTGTCACTTTTATTCAATGTAATGCATCCTTGTTGTGTTAAAGTATTAATTTTGTTTATTATCTTATTGATACCAAACTTTTGAAAGATACTAAATATTTATATATTTTTTAAATAAATCCATTAAAAATGGATTAGGCTCAAAATTAATCAAATATGGACACTTTTGTACCCCTTTAATTTAAATGAGCATTCATGCACACTCACACACTCATCAGGATTAGTGTAAAAGTCTCATACCTTGCTCCATATGAAAGAGGATTAATCTGGCTAAGGTGACTTTGAGAATAGACTCTTCGTGACCAGTACAGGAGACCGCTCCACTTCTATTGTCTGCATATCCACCAGATCCTTATCGCACAGGAAAAAACAGCAGCACAGACAGAGTCAGACGTTAATGTGTGTTACCTCGGGAGAAAACACTCTGACAATTGAGTATTGATCAGAGCTGACACCTTCAAACCGAAATGGCTCATTCAACCTAGGCACTGCTTCAAAATTAATATTGGTGTGACACTGAGATTATCTCTGTCCTCTATCTCTGATCCGACTCACCAATAATAGGAGAATCTCTGACTCTTCCCACCATTTTTTTTCTGATTCCTCCAGTGGATGTAGCGCAAGCCACATTACCCAAAGAGTCCAGATCCACCGCTCCAACGGTATCATGGCTCCTATAATTATAAAAATCTTCTATAACTTTGAATAATAAAGATTAGCTCTCAGAGTTTTTTCCCCCTCAGATCTATAATTTTATGGTCTCAGACATGGTATTTTCAAAAGGTGCTTTGAAGAGACAGCATTATTATTCATCACACTCTGAGATGTGCCTCTAGCTTAGTTCCTCTTCATCAGACAGACTTTTGTCAACTTAATATGCTGCAGTCATAATCTACTGGATAAAAGCCTCAAACTCCCTTACAAATATAGCCTCTGTGCAATTACTTTTGTTTCCTATGTGATTTTCAGTCAAAAAAAAATAAAAATTGTACGTTGTACTGTTCTGGTGATGTTTGAAAGGGATGATGCTAATGACAACCTCATAGATGCTTTTAAGAGTGCCAGCACACCCGAAATTGACTCATCATCATCTGCCTGTCAACAAAGGAAGAGAGCGAGAATAAGTGCCCTTCACCAATCTGAGTCACAGCCGCTAGTCTGGCAAAGTACACTCAGAAAGATTGCAAAGAAAGTGTTGTATCAGTTGTGATATTTCTGTAGACACACATGAAAAAGTATTGATTGTTCTTCAAAAAAACAAAACAAAACACAATTTTTATGATGTGCACATCAGTCTTCCAGTCTACCTTTCTTCACCTGAAAGGAAATAGAATAGAGAGCGGAATGTGGGATGAACAGAGACCCTAGTATTTCACAGGCGTCATATCCCATGACACTCTGATTAAGGCAGCAGTGCTGTGGAAAACAAGTGTGTGTTATGAGTTTGAAGCCGCATGGAGGACAGTGGTTCAAGGTGAAATGAAAGAAAATAGCCTCCATGTCGTTCTCCCCAGAAATGGGAAAACAAACATGGTCCTCGTGAAGAATATGTCTGAAGCAGCTGGCGAAGAATCACTTGTCAGGTTCCAGATTTCGGACATCAATCATTTTTAGCAGGCACTTGATTGCTCTTTTAAATCACCGGCGATGCCTGGATCTTGCTCATCGGTTTAGGTAAAAACTGCTTTTAAAAGCAGCTTGACAGTGGACTGTATTTCACACTTCAAAGTGATCACAGAGTTTTGCAGTAACTCTTCACACATCAATAAACAGCCTAATGAAGTGTGCAGATATTGAAGTTTAGAGTTCTCATTAAGAAGAAAAGGTGGCTGTCTTAACTCAGTTGTAAATGTAGTTTCTATATACTAATCACTAAAACTAAATGACAGAATGCTTTTAAAGCAGATGTATATGGAAGCTTGTTTCTACCCGAGAGTAAAAAAAATAAAAACAAGAAATAAATGGTAATATTGATTCTGCTACAGTTACAAAGTTACAGTTGAAAAATGTAGTTAATTTTTTCAAAATTCTGAGGTAGAAAAGACTTCCATAAATTAGTGTCAGTTTTCCATTTTTTAAATTCGCTCTCCTATCCCATCTTAATATTCAGAGACAACAGTAAGCTATTTGAATGTTGATTCTGTCAAAAAGTGTAAAACCTGTAGTGTTTGAGAATACTGACGACCACAGCATAGAAACACTGGCTCAGCCAATGGCATGAGTTTGGGGCAGGGTTATCCATTTCCGTGACCATTGCAGATGGAGATGGAGTTATTTTCGCAATAGAGTGCAACCGTGCCCTGTCACTTTTTCACTGGCCTTGGTTCTGGAATAATTTTTCCTGTTCATTTTTCCCATGGGATTTTTAAAAAGCCTTTGTTGAAGAGTTAGAAACCATGAACCAGCTATGAGGTAAATCAAGACATTACAAACTTTGATTTGAAGCTATTTGAAAATTGGACAAAAAGTAAAAAAAACAAACAAAGGTACAAGACTGTGTCCTTAACAGCTTTAATGAGGAAAATAACGTATTGGTTACGTATGGTAACCCTCGTTCCCTGAAGGAGGGAACGGAGACGTCACGTCGGATGACCGACGAAATTGGGATTTCGCTTAGAGAGACAAATCCCCTTCAAGTGTAAACTAAACGAGCCAATGCACATTGGCATGCGATTATTGCATCCAGCTGCTGCTGATTACAGCGTGA